GGGGGGGGTGAGGAGTATGGTTGTCTTGCTGTCGAGCGGTTTGTTGTTGTCGAATTGCTGAGATTCTTTTCCTTTCGATTGGGGTGGGGATTGTTTGCGAATGGTTGGGTTGGATTAGGGGCTGGAGGGGGATGAGAGGTGGTGATAGGGGGTAGAGAGAGTGTGTGCTAGGGGAGGGCATCCTGCGGCTCTGGGCACGATGAGCAGGAGCTAGGTCCAATGTGATGTTAAGAGGCTCTTACTTGTTAGGCTTGGGGGGTAGATATACTCTTGGAATAAGAACTAGCTAGGATAGTAAAGTATGAGTTGGGAATTTAAACTAGGTTTAAGGATGGATTTAGGGGGAGCTTGATATTTCTTTTTTCTAGATGTGGAGAGAAGTGGAGTCTTTATGGTTGTTTAAAATATGTTTTATATATCTTGGTTCAGATACTATGTTGAGCAGGTAGTAGGATACACTGGTGTAGGTCTATTTCTGTTCGTGATATTCGAATTCCCTAAAGAATTCTTTTAGTATTTATCTAGCTTTTCTTGTGCTTATCCAATCTATAACTTTTCACTGTTAAACCCTTCATTATTTCCCAGGCCAGAGACTCAAGGTAAGCAACCAAGCAAGCAAGAAAGGAAGAATGCGTATATATATATACCCACTCCCCGTATCTTCAACTACCCCCTCAGCAGGGATACAAAACATGCAACCGGAGTTCTCTTGATCTGTCATAGCTCGTTGTGAAGCTTTCATAAAGTCATTACTTGATACCCCCNCCCCCCCCCCATTCTTCCATTACAAGAATTTTGTTTTGGTACTCTGCTTTTCACACTCCATTCCGAAATTGTAACGGTAAACTTCGGAGTGGTGAAGCAAAGATTTGGATTTTTACTATCGAAAAGATTGTTGTTGTCGAGAGTATGGGGGATGTCGGGTAGAATTAGAGAAAGGAGGTGGATAGGATTGTAGTTTGTTTTATTGGTGAAAGAAGGGAGTAGAGATTTGACTGGTTGAAGTTACTAACTAGGATGTTCTATTTGTTACAAAGCAGGAAAACATTTGTGAAATTGTTTAACGTTGCGGGATACCAGCCAGAAAAACGGGCTCTGTGACATGGGATTTATGGAAAAGAGATATACCTTACCTCTACATTCTATCTTTGAGATGTAAGTAGGTACTCTAGCCCTAAATATCCATACATGGTTATTACTCGGAATATCCTTACTAATGTCCTTGCTTCTAAAACCCATACCAAAGCCAAATTTGTTAGGCCTATATCCACCACC